GCATCGCACCCGCTTCGCATGTGCTCGTAGATGATTGGCGTGCACTGCTTCGTCACCTGCACAGCGCACACACCAAGTCCACCTCGTGCTGACGACTGCATCTGATGCACCACGTCGACCTCGGGATACCATCACCGAGGTCGTCCTCGCCAAAACCACCTGGGCGACCTTCGCAAGCCTTCGCAGCACCTCGTCACCCAGGTAACTTGGTCTACCGGGCAACCAGGTCGACCAGAGGCTCCAGTGCGTGCCCGTCGACCACCCAGGTCGACGACCACTTCCGGTCGACCTCCCAGGTCGACCACTGCCTCTGGGACGTGCCGGTCGACCTCCCAAGTCGACGGCCACCTCCAGTCGACCTCCCCAGGTCGACCACTATTCCCTGGTCGACCAGCTCCAAGTCGACGTCACTCCTGGTCGACCAGAAGGCCTGGTCGACGTCCCTGGTCGACCAGAAGAGCCGGTCGACTTCCCAGGTCGACCAGAAGGTTTGGTCGACGTCCCAGGTCGACCAGGAGGTCTGGTCGACGTCCCAGGTCGACCAGAAGGGCTGGTCGACTTCCTAGGTCGACCAGAAGGTCTGGTCGACGTCCCAGGTCGACCAGAAGGGCTGGTCGACTTCCCAGGTCGACCAGAAGGTTTGGTCGACGTCCCAGGTCGACCAGGAGGTCTGGTCGACGTCCCAGGTCGACCAGAAGGGCTGGTCGACTTCCCAGGTCGACCAGAAGGTCTGGTCGACGTCCCAGGTCGACCAGAAGGGCTGGTCGACTTCCCAGGTCGACCACCCGAAGCTGGCGCCCTCCCGAAGTCGGCGCCCATGCAGTGGCTCCCCGTGCAGGTCGATCTGTCGGCGGGGGAAGTTGCGCGCCTCATAGTGCAGCAGGATATCTCGCGTCGCGCGGTCCGTGCTGAGGTCGACGCCGCAATCCATGAGCTGTGCGGCGGACAGAAGGTTGAAGCGCAGGTTCTGGACGATCAGCACATCGTTAAGCGTGATGTGCGTGCGGCTCCCGCGTGCTTTGAGCACGACGATGCCTTGCGCGCTTGCGCGCAGGCGTGTGTTGTTCGCCACGGTGACGTAGGTGACGGCAGGGGTGGGGACGGCGTTGGATATGTAACGCTCGGAGCCCACCATGTGCTGGCCGCAGCAGCTGTCCAGGTACCAGGTGTTGTAGCGCTTGTTGTCGTCACGTGCGAGCAGCGCCAGTCGCGGCGTGACGATGTGCGGAGTGTCGAACTTCAAAAATTGTTCGCGCGTGAGCCAATCGAGTGGCGCCACCCGCATATCAGGTACGTGCGGGGGACTTTCAAGCAGCGGGACTGGAAGGTTCCAATCCTGGTCGTCGTCGTCGGTGAAGTCGCGGCGCGGACTAAACGGGTTGTTGTTGGTGAACGCGCCAATTGGGTGCGGTGCCGGCTCAGGTGAAGGCGAGCGGACACGGCGACGACGCGATTTGCCTGTCATGGCCATGTTGCTCATGACATTGCGGGCAGTCGGTGACGGCTGCTGCTGCTGATGCTGAACTGCTGGGTTCAGGTTGCGCGCGGGAGGGGGTTGATACCCCTGGGCAGGACGCACGTCGCCTCGTGCATCTTGACGGCCGGACCAGGTGCTCGGATTGGTCTGGCGAGGGCGTGATCGGTTCTTACATCGATCCGCCAAGTGCCCAAAATTTCTGCAGATTTTGCAGTAGAGGCGCCGTGGCTTTCGCTCTTCAGTGTTGTCGGCGTAGAAGGCGAGCCGTTCGCGTTCTCGTCGCGGCGCTGGTCGCTGCTGGTCCATATCCCTCTGTTCGACGAGAAGGGCGGCGCAAAGGGCGGCCTCCGAGATGGCCCCCTGCTGTCGAAGAAGTGCCTTGCAGGGCCTCCACTCTGGGCCGAGCCCCTGAAGCACGATGTTGACGAAGATTTCCTCTGAAATCGTGCTTCCCAACTTCACGATTTGATCGCGAAGGCTCCGACAGCGGTTGAGGTAGTTGTTGACTTTCTCCCCTGCGGTCATCTTGGTTTCCAGGAGTTCCTGGAGTAGTCGGCTCGAAGAGACAGAGTCCTTGGGCTGGTAGACTCCTGTCAGGTGCCGCCAGGCGTTAAGGGCTGGAGCAGCTGTGGTCTTGTATGAACGAATGTTGAGCTGCTCCGCCGCCGACATATTCCGCAGGAGCACCCCGTACGCCATCAGCGATTCGTTGTAATACCGCGCCTTGGCGTCGTCGGTGTCCTCAGCAGGCTCCGCGTAGCTCCCGTCGAAATAGTGGAAGATCTGGGCGTTCTGAAGCAGGAGCTCCAGCTCGAAGCTCCAGGTGTAAAAGTCTCTGCCGTCAAAACAGGTACTTGTCTTTATTTTTGATATGCTGAGGAACCTTGATTGAGCGGAGAGAATTGCCTCTTCACTGGGACGGGGAGTCTTGGGGGTTGAGCCATTGGTGTCGAGGGAGAAAGTTTGCGGGGTGGCGTTCTGGCCAGTCGGGGCCGGTTGAGAGGGTTGCGAGGATGTTCCCGCATCGCCATTCCGCAATGTTTGGAGCCCTTGCTCCAAGCTGGTGAGTCGCTGAAGAAGTTGTGCGAGAACTTCGGAGTTGATTGTCGTCGTGTTCTCGCTTGTCGCAGCCGGGTTTGGTTGCGCTTCAGCCGTCAGATTGGTCTGACCACCAGATCCTCCGGCCATCTTCACTCGTGAGCGTGTGCCGGACGCCACTTTCCGAATGTCGCAATTTTCGGGAGTGGCAGTGCGAAGGATTCCTGAGCCGCTCTCATACCATGCTGCGATCAGAGATTGATCGTAGGCCGGGATCTACCCAGGAAGGTTCGCACGCAGTGAGAATAGTTGGTGGGCCCTTGATCTCAATAGCAGAGTGAATGTAAATGCTTGAGATGATAAAAACATGCAAACAAGGTCATATAAATAAGAGTACAAGGGAATGCGAACAGACCTATCTAGCCATGTACTCTAAGGGGTACATTCCCTTATTCAAATTCACTCCCAACCGTGCGGCGCGTACAGTTTCGTAACTGTTCCCGCCAAAACCATCCTGCCTGCAGCTGCCCGATGCCGTCTGCTTCCGACGGTCCAGATGCGTTCCAACTGTCCGTCGCTTCGAGTCAATTCCAACCGTCTGACGGTTCGCGTTCATTCTCGTTACTGCGTGCTTCTCTTTGCTGCGGTGAGGAGTGCACAGTAATATCAAATATTACTATTCGTAACAGTATATATAACATACATTTACAACACATTGTTGCCCTCGCAGCTCTCACTTCCTGATCCTGAACGCGGGTCCCATAAACTCCAGGATCTAACCTGCAGATGGCGTGACATAAGTTAGGCTAATTCCCACACTGATATAAGCACAAAGTTGTTACCAATTTGAGAACTACAGAGCTGATTGATCTACAGGGGTCTAAAACAAGGGTTAAAGCCCGGGGTCAGCATGGTAAATTATCAAGTTATGTGGATTTGAAATAGGCTGTATGCGAGATCCGCGAAACCTATTTCGGCACTCTGCCTTTGGTGAGAACACCTTTCCTCCGCAAACAGAAGAGTGTTTCGCACTCACCAGACCTGCGAATACTACCAACCCAAAGCGACCAATTTGTCGCACACATCCTCTCTTGCGTCGGGCATGCAGAGTGTGGCTCCACCAGAAATCCCCTCACCACAAAATCAGCTGAAGTCTAACGGGACATAGAACAACAGAGCAATGCACGTGCTGCGTCTCAACGCCACCTACTCAACGCCACAACAGAAATGCGTTAAGGACGTTCCAAGCCCCAGATTACTAGCCAGCCGACCATCGCAGGAGCTGGCAACAACAACGTCTAGGAACGTGCAAGCGCGATCGCACTTACAGGGAAAAAGTGAGGACAGTCTGGCGACAATTGGTAGCTAGGCCCAACGAGTAATAGGGAGTGTATTGACGTCGTTGTGACTAGACAGGAGGGAACAAAGCGACCGTGGTTCGGCTCTCGCACCGAGCGCCGAGCAGCACCCGCTCGTCGCATTTGGTGGCTCGCGTTCTGTGCGACGCGCCCGCATTTCAGACGAGCGGAGCCCGCATACCAGGCGCGCGGAGCCCGCATTTCAAGCGAGCGTAGCCCGCTTTTCAGGCAAGCAGAGCCCGCATACCAGGCGCGAGGAGCCCGCATACAAGGCGCGCGGAGCCCGCATACAAGGCGCGCGGAGCCCACTTTCCAGCCGCGCGAAGCCCGCATTCCAGGCGAGAGGGAGCCCGCATACCAGCCGCGCGGAGCCCGCATTTCAAGCGAGCGTAGCCCGCATGTCAGGCGAGCAGAGCCCGCATTCCAGGCGAGCGGAACCCTCATACAAGGCGCGCGGAGCCCGCATTCCAGGGGAGCGGAGCCCGCATACCAGCCGCGCGAAGCCCGCATTCCAGGCGAGCGGAGCCCGCATACCAGCCGCGCGAAGCCCGCATTTAGGCGAGAGGGAGCCCGCATACCAGCCGCGCGGAGCCCGCATTCCAGGCGAGAGGGAGCCCGCATACCAGCCGCGCGGAGCCCGCATTCCAGGCGCGCGGAGCCCGCATACCAGCCGCGCAGAGCCCGCGTTCCAGGCGAGAGGGAGCCCGCATACCAGCCGCGCGGAGCCCGCGTTCCAGGCGAAGAGCACAGTGCTGCTGCTCTCGGCGACCACCACGCGCACAACTAAAGCGGATACTGCGCACAAGTGTGGGGGGCAAGGGGCAGCACACGCCCCTGAAAGCTTGTGTTACACTGACACCTAAGAGAAAGGCTCGCCAAAAACTCTGGAATTCAGTGTCATGCCAAAAACGCCTCTGGAAACCAGTGTACTCTAAAACGAAAAAAAAGCCCTGGTTGGAAGACTTCACAATATTGTCATGTCTCGCTAAAGCAGGGCAACATGTTGCTACTGTGGAGCCTGTACACTACAGTAATTATCTAAAGCTGTTCAATCACCATAACCCGCTACTTCCATTCTCCAAGCCAAACATAACCATCTCCTCCTCCTTCCCCCCTCAGCTACCTCATCATATCTTGGTGTGAGTAGGGATGATCACCCGATCCACCCCATGGGCAATGAACCAGCGCCCCACGTACAGCCCCGGGATGCGAATGGTGGTCCACTGGTCCACCTTCAAGTACGGCCCCCTAGCAAACGACACAGCGCTGTTGTTTCCCATCGGCGTCATCTTGAAGAGCGGCTGCCTCAGCTGAGTTCCTATCGCCGTCCGCAGCTTCACCTGCCTCATCTGCGGGAGGGTCATTCGGCGCCGCAGGATGTGGAACGCCGTTATGTTGTACAGTGTGGGGACGCTGCTGCTCTTAGCGGGGATTCTCTTAGCGAGGGCTTCTGCCTGCACGTTGTTGGGGATGAGGATGGACGCGTCTCGCAGTGCCGACAGGTCGTACTTGGAATTGACTGCGAGGGGAAGTGGGGGGACGGGGAGAGGGGGAGACGGAGAGGGGAGAAGGAAAGGCGGTGAATGGAGTTCACTACAGGGGCAGGGCGGGGAGGGCGGCGGGGAAGGGGCGGGTGGGGGGAACGGAGGGGGGTGGAGAGGGGAAAAGAGGTGAGAAAGAAAAAGCAGTGAGTGATGTCGGAAAAAGGAGAAGCTGGGGTGTTGTGTGGGGCCGGAAGGGATGGTCAGATTGGTGCGGTCATGCGGGGAACAAACACGGAAAGGCATATCTCGTTAGGAAGGAAACAGTATTGATAAAAAGCGGTAGTCGAAGGTAGTTGACCACGTAGTCGCTGGTGCAAGGTCTTACGTGCGAAGTTAATGTATTTGGTGGCGTCCTGCGCGTATCGCGAGTACTGCGGGTACCGCTTCACGATGCTCTTCGCCATGCTCTGCAGTTCCGCGCGCAGCTGCGCCTTCGTCGGCGGAGGAGGCTGCGCGCGGCAGCTTCTCGGAACGTACGCCGCTGCCACGCACATGACTGCTACGAGGAGCAATCCACCTCCGAATCGCGCCGCCATTTCCGGTAATCGCTTCGAGCGTCTGACACGTATCTAGGCCTTGCGGATGGTTTCACCCGGATCGCTGAAATAGATGGTGTGGGCTGGTTGGGATTCTGATGGACCTTACTATAAAAGTTGGTCACTGAAAACGCCGTTGATTGTCGTGCTGAAAGCTAGATCGTCGTCGTATTGGAATGCGGCTTGGGTGTTGTGATGTATTTGGGTCTAAACTAAGTCGTATAAATAAGCAAACGAGTGGTATGGCATGTTGGCCGGATCGCTCCTGGCCAGATACACCCTCGCAGTTCGCCCGTTCCATGTAACGCCCACAGCTGCACGAACACGCGAGGAAGCTGAGTCGCCGCCAACAGCCGTGCCGCGGCGATATGCCGAGGAAACCGCGGCAATATGCGAAGAAACCGCTGAGCCAATGCCGCCACACAGCAGCCGTGCCGCGCCGATTCGGCGCGGAATAGCATGTTGGATAACGCGAAAGCGCATGGCGCGATTCTGACTGGAAGAGACGCGAACCGCCCTTTTTCATAAGACACGACTGGTGTGGGATGAAAACACGCCCGCGAGCAGGTGTGCAAGTTCCAAGACACCAGCAGCGGCGGTTGTGCGTGTGAAAGTTCCAACACTGCGGTTCAGAAGATTTGAAAACGTTTCAAAACGTTTTCCAGCCACAGTAAACGGTTCTGTAGGGTTTCAAGAGCAAACGAATGCTTTTGCACTGCTATGATGAACCTCCGTTGCGTTTGAAGCGTGTGCGACGACGCCAGTGCGACCAGGGCTGTGAGATGACGCGTGTGCGACGACTTCACTTCGACCCAGTCATTCGGTGCCACGAGATGCGGGGAAGGTGCAGGGGATTGGTGGATATGGTGTTGGGTGTACTCTCCGGTACTATCGTTTCATTATGAACATAGCTATCTATATCCTTACATTGTGTACCTGCATGCATCCTTAAAATATATATCGATATCTGCTATCTGGTTAGGAAACATTAAAATAAAATCGAAGGTGATATCTGTGCCATTCATTGGTTCATCGAGCATTATATTTAGAAGGCCAAGAAGGGAGGTATTGTAAGACACCACCTCTGTTCAAACATAAGTAGATCTTGCTATTTGCTATGAAGCCCTGCGTCACCGCTTTGAACCACCTGTAGATGGATGAGCTGTAAATGAATCCTTCAAAAGGCAAAACAGTTGGCCCGATCAAGGATCGAACTCACGACCTTAGGATGGAGAGAGGATGAGGGAGGGGATAGAAAATGGGATTGGAATGGGGAACGGGAAAGGTTGCAATGATACAGAGAGATGGTGGCTATGCATACTCGGACGGCGATTAGAAGCAGAGGGGTAGTAGTAGAGAGAGGCCAGTGGGACAGCCCATGAGTTGACAGACGGATAGTTCGGAAAGGTGGGTGAGAGAAAGGCAATGGGTGATGGGGTGGGGGGAAGAGAAGCGGCGCTGTGAAAGCATTAGTTATGAATGCAGTGAGATTTTGGGGACGGGGTTACTGGGAGGAGATGCAGGGGCCAGAGGGAAATGCGAGTGAGGTGGGTGTGACAGAAGGGGTGAAAGATGAGAAAGGGGGAGGAAGAAGGGAATGATGTTGTGTACTATCAATCCCCGTCACTCCCACGTTGCCACCTTGGATAACACTAGGGCAGGCTTTTGCAGGGCATGCAATACAACAAGAGCACAGAGTGACATGAACATGACACGGGCTGGAGTCATAAGTGACCTGAAATTAGTGCGACCTGAAAATAGAATGACCTGAGACTGACCTGAGAATTACCTGAGAACTACCTGAAAATGACTTAATGACCCGAGAATGACCCGAGAATGACCCGAGAATGACCCGAGAATGACCCGAGAATGACCCGAGAATGACCCGAGAATGACCCGAGACTGACCAGAGACTGACCAGAGACTGACCAGAGACTGACCAGAGACTGACCAGAGACTGACCAGAGACTGACCAGAGACTGACCAGAGACTGACCAGAGACTGACCAGAGACTGACCAGAGACTGACCAGAGACTGACCAGAGACTGACCAGAGACTGACCAGAGACTGACCAGAGACTGACCAGAGACTGACTTGAGACTGACTTGAGACTGACCAGAGACTGACTTGAGACTGACTTGAGACTCACCAGAGACTGACCAGAGACTGACCAGAGACTGACCAGAGACTGACCAGAGACTGACCAGAGACTGACCAGAGACTGACCAGAGACTGACCAGAGACTGACCAGAGACTGACCAGAGACTGACTTGAGACTGACTTGAGACTGACCAGAGACTGACCAGAGACTGACCAGAGACTGACCAGAGACTGACCAGAGACTGACCAGAGACTGACCAGAGACTGACCAGAGACTGACCAGAGACTGACTTGAGACTGACCAGAGACTGACCAGAGAATGACCCGAGAATGACCCGAGAATGACCCGAGAATGACCCGAGAATGACCCGAGAATGACCCGAGAATGACCCCGAGAATGACCTGAGACTGACCCGAGAATGACCTGAGACTGAGCTGTGGGTGATCAGAGGAGGGAAGGCAGCACCGCCATGATGGGAAGGAGAGACCAGGGTTTCGGGCAGGCGAGCGTCAAGAGAAGGTGTATGAGCATTCTCACAAGCGACACAGATGTAGCCAGATTTCAAGTCCTTCAAGTTCCAAATTGTAGGGTCTTGATATCTTGGTTACAGGATTGGTTGGTGAGAGCACGGTACCACAACATCAGGAGCTCACCTACAAGCTGATTACGGCATCTTTTGAGGCGCCTCAAAAGTCAACAACAGGAGCTCACCTACAAGCTGAGTACGGCAGTCCATGAGGGGTCACGGGACTGAGGGACTGCGCCCTTGTCCATGTGGGCCCCAGTCTAGTGCAACTTGGCAGCCCTGTGCAAAATTGGGAGCTCACCTACTAGGTGAAGGGAAGGGTAAGGGAATTGGGGTAAAGGGAGGGGGAGGGGTAAGTGAAATAAGTGGGATTAAGGGTAAGCGCAGGGGGTAGTGAAGAGAGGGGGGGGAGGGGGGGGAAGGGGGTGGGGGGTAAGGGTAACGGAGGGGATAAGGTAAGAATACGAAACGGTGGCCTTGCAATCAGTGCGAGTGGGTGTGGGAAACAATCCAGAGCAGAACATTGCAGATAAGAAGTCATAAACGAGGGGAGGAGTGGAAAGTAAGATATACTTGAATAAAGAGGTGGTGTATGGGCAGGAACGAGAAGGTTAGGCAAGGTAATGTTGCGGATCCTAGGAGAATTCCTCCAAGCATCCCTGTTGCTTCTGCCAGCCCCATCAGCAGTCCCTTAAGCAGCCTCTCACCCATCCTTCACCAGTCCCTGGGAGACTCTCACACACCCCACGAAACCACAGCTACCCCTCACCGTTTCTCACACACACGCCTCACTATGGCAATATCTGGCTTGTTAACAGCACCACGGCCTTCACTCGTAATGCCAAACGCACCCTTTGTTTGGGCCCACGATATCAGGGTAAAACATTCTGATTACCCTAACTTCAGGATGGTGTTTTTATTTTGCCCTGGAATTTCAGAATGACGCTGTAATTTACCCTGTGACGTCAGGATGATTCATGTGTTTTGCCCTGAAATTTCAGAATGGCAGTGCAATTTTGCCCTGAAGCGTTAGGGTGAATGTAGAGGGATGCCCTGACTTGTGGGAAGGGGAAGAAGGGGTGGAGGGGGGGAGAGGGGGAGAGGGGAGGAAGAAGGCTGGGGTGTGTGTGTGCTAGTTTTGTCCCCGCCCCTCCCCCTCCAAAGTTCTTGCTCAGCCAGTTGTAGGGAAACCATTAAACAACCTGCTCCTCTCGTGCCTTCCCCTCCACTCTAGTGTCTTGCATTTTTTTGCCCTGAAACATCCAGATGTATTTTTTAGTGGAGCCCTGGAATTTCAGAATGGCCAGGGAATTTTGTCCTGAAAAATCAGGGCATTTTGAAAAAGTTTTCAAAAGTTACCCTGAGGGCTCAGGGTGCCCTAAATCCTAGCACAGGCCCTGGGCCTTCGTGGCCTCCATCTGCGTGATCGATTTAGATTTTCCTGAACCTGTAGATTCGCTATCGGTCGCAGCAACCAGTAGCAAAAGGCGCATCCTCTGCAGCATTTGCTCGTACGATCCGGCTACTAAAGCCGCGGTTGCGTCTTTCCAGTCACTCTGCAGAGGCTTCGATTCTCAATCACATTCAATATTCACTCGTAGGTCCGAATCTGAAAGGCCTGTTCGTTTTCGTTCGCTATACCGTCCACGATGTGCCGCAGAGCAGAGGCAGCAGGCGGTGGTGAGCAGGCCTCTTATCTGATTACGATGTCCACGATGTGCCGCAGAGCAGAGGCAGCAGGCGGTGGTGAGCAGGCCTCTTATCTGATTACGATGTCCACGATGTGCCGCAGAGCAGAGGCAGCAGGCGGTGGTGAGCAGGCCTCTTATCTGATTACGATGTCCACGATGTGCCGCAGAGGCAGCAGGCGGTGCTGAGCATCTGTTTATCTGAGCAGAGAAGCAGGTGCGGAGCTGGGGCAGGAAGAGGGAAAGGGGGAAAGAGGTTAAGGGGTTGTGCTGTGCAATTGATAGGCGGTGCTGAGAATCCATTTATCTGATTACTACTCCACCCTCTTAACACCTTTCTGTCATGCTCGTTCCTCCACCCATCACTCTCCAGTCGACCTCTGCAAACGTGCTCCTTCTCCCCCCCCTCCCTCATGCCCATCCCCCCTCTCCATTACCTTCTGCCTCCTGCCAGACCCCCTCCAGCCATAACAGTCTCTGCCTCAACGGTCCTGAGCAGGCAGCGTGCCGTGTGAGTGTATGGGAGATGGGCAAGAGGCAAGAGGCAAGAGGCAAGAGGCAAGAGGCATGATATGGGCAGAAGGTGGGAGTCATGCCAATGAAAGCACGCTCCGCCTGCCCCTCCTGCTACAGCTCTCTCCGCGACTCCACTTGCCCTTCCTGCCACCTCTGCCTTCCCGGTTGT